CAGTGAAACAACGATTATGAAAGATGAATGTTGATAAATAGCAAATAAGAAGCCCTTAATTCATTCTTGCATTGACGTGTTTGGTTTTTGTCTAACCATGGTCGTTCCTACCGTTGTGGGTTAGAAGCGTGTGAGAAATTTTAGAAGACGAAAAGGAAAAAGAGAAGATAATTATAACAAAAACTATATCTAAAATGACTGTTGTCACGCCCATCCACCCTCGGTTAGTCTTCATTGAAATGCAAGTAGCACGTCACCTAGCGGACAGTAATTACGATTCATCCATTACGTCATATGAATGAACACTTGGTTCGTGCCAATTCTTTTTAAAGATCAGTTTTTATTTAACTTTCAGAATGAGTTTTTAAGCGCATTGGTTTTATAGTAAAAGCAGTCAGACAAAGAACTGGCTATGTAATTAAAAACTGATTGTCTTTCTTCATCCGCCTCTTAAAATAGTCCTTGCAGAGTAAAATATAATTACGTTACTGTAGATATTAATTAAAATCACAGGCGAAACTTTTGGTTCTCATGGCGACAATATGAGACTGGCCGTTTCCTGGGACATTGGGCCGTAGTGTGTAGTCTGATAGAAATTTACCAATTTTCAGAGGTGATTATTACCTCTATCATCAGGGCAATGATTCTATCATCACAAATAATACATTTAAATTTAGGCCTACAAAATAAATTCTAAGTACACGAATAGAAGAATTCGTCGTCTTCAAATTGGTTTTGAAGTTCCTCTCCCCAACATGCAGAATGTTAAGTGTAGACACCTAGGGTTTAGCATGTAGGACTCTGTACGTCAGAATCCATTGAATTCCGCGGCGCTGGTAATCACGACTGATCATCGTATTTACGACCGGATATGGTCCATCCATCACCAGATGTCACCACATCCTACCCCATAAGCTGACTGAATATCTGATTGACTGGGTCATTTTACACCTCGCATTTTGCTTATGAAGCTTTAGAGACCGTCGAATTGAATCCTCGATTTAAACAGATGAAGCACGATACAGTCTGCTGATATGAATGAAGATAAATCATTAGCTATGATCAAGACCGTACACGGCAAAGCTTTGTTCACGTATTAATCAAATTTTCAAAGATATTTATGGAACTCCAAGGTTTATGACCGTGTTCATACCTGTCCTAGCTTCTGTTTCAAGCTGTAGATATTAATTAAAATCACAGGCGAAACTTTTGGTTCTCATGGCGACAATATGAGACTGGCCGTTTCCTGGGACATTGGGCCGTAGTGTGTAGTCTGATAGAAATTTACCAATTTTCAGAGGTGATTATTACCTCTATCATCAGGGCAATGATTCTATCATCACAAATAATACATTTAAATTTAGGCCTACAAAATAAATTCTAAGTACACGAATAGAAGAATTCGTCGTCTTCAAATTGGTTTTGAAGTTCCTCTCCCCAACATGCAGAATGTTAAGTGTAGACACCTAGGGTTTAGCATGTAGGACTCTGTACGTCAGAATCCATTGAATTCCGCGGCGCTGGTAATCACGACTGATCATCGTATTTACGACCGGATATGGTCCATCCATCACCAGATGTCACCACATCCTACCCCATAAGCTGACTGAATATCTGATTGACTGGGTCATTTTACACCTCGCATTTTGCTTATGAAGCTTTAGAGACCGTCGAATTGAATCCTCGATTTAAACAGATGAAGCACGATACAGTCTGCTGATATGAATGAAGATAAATCATTAGCTATGATCAAGACCGTACACGGCAAAGCTTTGTTCACGTATTAATCAAATTTTCAAAGATATTTATGGAACTCCAAGGTTTATGACCGTGTTCATACCTGTCCTAGCTTCTGTTTCAAGTTCTTTAAGATCTGTTTTAATATTATCCACATATCTATATACCTGTTTCGTCCAAGTAATCTCCATTGAATCTCTTTCTATTGAGACTCCTGCCACAACAAGCTCCAGATCTCCAGGTGCCCCGTTTTTCGTTGCTTAGGGACCCAACAAAGATTCTTTCCAAGTCCGAGGCCCCATGTAACATTTCGTAACATGTTCACCCTAAGCCACCCCTCAAGATGGTGGACCGCCCACTCTCAACTCTGTGCCTCCGAGATACGGATAGAACGTATATTCCTTTTGAATTACCGTCCAGGAGGACTGAAGTCGAAATGAAAGATTATGACAAAAGTATGTAGACTGTATGGGACATAAGGACGGTTTTAAAGTGATTATTTAGTTCAATTTTTCTCCAGGCACTCCACCGTGTGTGTAAATCTCCGCAGCACCAGATTGTCAGTCACAGCTGATATTCTCATGGAGGTACTGGGGAGAACCACGATCAGTCTTAGTGAAGAAGTTGGTCTTCTGGAGCTTGATGCCTTGCGAATACGAAGTGAGTCAACGACGATTACATTTGAACTCATTGCCTTATAGCCCCTCCAAACACGACTAATGGAAGCTTGCCCATTGAAAATCATGCGTTCATTAAGTTGCTCTTATCGAGTAGTATAATCGATTTGATTTATCGATCTTAAGAAGTTTTTCCCAAACGCGGCAACAATGTAGGAAGAAGGACCTCAAACCATTAGGTTTTATTTTCTTGTTCTTGTGTTGTATAAGACAAAAAAAAAAAGAAGAATAAGAAGGGCCGGCAGCGTCTGAAGGGGGGTGGGGGGGTGTTCGGAGCTGCCTGAAGACAATGGTCCTACTATTCTTCCCCTAAACCTGGCGCACTGGTTTCGTGAAAGTGGGAGTAATGGTCACTTTGACGTCATTGCCCATGATAATTTCCACGCTTGCTAAACCACAATCCACACCAGATAACCACTACTGAACCAGGTTAAGTTGGACTTTGGAGTGGATAAAGTGTCGTTAAACAAATTTTTCAAGAAAATATTCTCTTCTTAATATTTTCGTGGTTTTTTTTTTCTTATTCATAAGCATTGTCGATCTTCGTAATTTCTGAAATTGATACAGCGTCGTTGAATAATCTTCGAACTAAGCGATATATTACTGGTTACTGCTCATTACTTCAATTCTCTGTAGTGCGTCAGAACAACGTGTTCTTGGCTTCTTCAGGAAGCAACGGTGAGAATCAAAGACGTTTTGGTGAGGTTTGGTCTGGTGCTGGCTAGGTTAATGGGTCTGTGGGGTGGAGGGGGTAATGCTTATCACCCCCCCCCCTTGGTTGTGAATTAAAATAAAGAACCCACGGGCAAAGCGTTTTCCTTTCCGAGTCTGGCGTGTCAGTGTGCTAAAGTGGAATAAGTTTGCTCCGAACTGAGACTGAAGGTGACAGATAAAAGATGGATTCTTATAACACCTTAATATTAAGTCACGGGCTGTTTCGTGGTGTTAATGAATAACATGAAGACTGAGAAGTTGGACTACGTGGAAGGAAGAAAGCAGATCGATGTTGAGGGGGACAGGAAGTTACAGAAGGCTGGAGAATTTTCTGAAATTAGTGGACCACCAATACTCTTCATAAAGCACTTGGCATGAATGGCAGATATATGAAATGCATTGTTCTTTGTTCGCTTTAAGATAAATTGATGTTGTTTTTGTTTATTTGTATCATAAAGGTAATTTATGTAGACATACATGTGCAACGACATTCTTGAGAAGATTCTTACATGTATTGTTGGTGCGTTGTATTTGATGTCCTGTGTTCTACGGAAAATGTTAGAGGTGTTGATGACTGAAAATATATATTTTTATTTTCGGAACATTTTTGCCATGTTATTTCACAGACATATACCTTGTATCATTCTTGCGTAAAAGCCACAGACTTAATTAGTTTTGTGTGTGTGTGTGTCTGTGTCTCAAACAGGAGACTGTGCCAGGGGGCCCAACAGAACACTAGAAGCTCTTTCGGCAATGTCATCAATGAAGATTTTAGTTAGTCTCACGGCTTTGGTGATCCTTTTTCCGCCAACTATTTTCTCTATTTTGTTTTTTAAAAAAACAGTTTCTCTGATTACAACGTGATCTGGTTTGCATTGCTCATTGCTAAAATGCCAACTTAAACTTGAAATAACTTCAGTTTGACATTAATTGAGTCGGTTAGTATTATTTAATAAACACAGGAGAATTTTAGTCTTGAAAGTAGTTTTTAGTTGTTGTATAAGCCCGTGTAAAAACTATACGCTATGTAAAAGTGTTTTGCTATGTACTTCAAGACTTTCATGAGACGAGGAAGACTCTGTTGGTTGCTTATTAGCAACAACAGGAAGTTCCAGCTCGAATGACAAATGTCTCGCGACTCATTACCCCTTATTAGGGTTGCATTACGCACTACAAGGCTTCATCTCGTTCACCGTTTGGGACCTCAGCACATAGAGCACTTCAGGTGTGAGGTAACCTGTTTCAAGAGTGCGCCGTTAATAAACGTGCTTCATCGGGTTCTAACGTTTAGTCTCTACAATTTTATTTTCCCTTTGAATAAAGAACCACTTCCTACCGCAAAGAAAACGCAACATTGATAGGGACAGGTCGCGGGCTCTTGTGAACACGGCAATGAACCTTCCGATTTCGTGAAAGGTGGAAAATTTCTGATTAGCTGAGCGACTGTTAGCTTCTCAAGAGGGACCTTGTCTTGCACTGACATGTAAAGACAAGTATTATCTTAGCCAAATCGTTTCGTATGACGGAAGTGTATAAAACTCCCCCCCCCCCCCCGCCCCCAGTTTTAAATCTTTTTTCTGGTCTAAGATATAGTGTCATGGATGATAATACGGTATTATTTTAATAATAATAATAATAATAATTTGGTATTAAAAATCACGCCCTAAAATATTAAAGAGCGTTCTGAGATGGTATCAGGGGTGGTGTAAGGGGACCTCAGTTGAGGGACGAAACAAGACATAAGACAGTAATTTGGTAGGTACTTAGAGGAGAAGCGAGTTCTAATTAAATCAGCTTAGTATTTATTCCACGTGATTTCCATAATCGCCTTGTTTTTGTTTGTAGTTCAAGGACATGGTTTCTGTTCACCAGGTAGACCCCTGTGAGCAGAGCCAGCTGGCTCCAGATCGTGGGAACTGCATCTTCTCCAGGAACATCACCGCGTTGCCATGTCTCTGCTTCCTGTTTGCATCTGTACACTCAACTAAACCACTGCGGGTATTTCTAGATGGTTTTACGGCACTGAAAATCTTTAACGGTGTGCAGAAATGCATTTGTGAACGGATTTAACATGCTCCCGAGGACCTGCTCAGTACAGCTGTGAGGTCGCCAAATGTTTCTTCCTTCTTCTGATTAACAATCATTCGAGTTTGTGTCTGAATTTTGGTACAGATATTTTTACGCAGTATTTTAATGCTTATCTATTATTATTTATTTTGTACTACATTTTATGTAGGAAACGAGAAGCCAAATATTCAGATTACATAAAAGGCCGGCATTTCTTGACAAACTGCCACTAAACTTTTAAAGAAAAAACGTGGAATTGAAATCATTTCGTGTTTTTCTAACTTTAACTACGAAATTTCTTACAACAAACATCCCCGTGCTGTCAGGCTATGTCTCCCATAATTAACATCACTTCCCAAAAGAAGGGCCAACTCTGAGGGCTACTGATATGTTTCAGAGGTAAATACTGCCTCCATCATCAGGATGATGACTCATCACAACATCCCAGAAGACAGTCATCTTCACATATGTGTTAACAGAAGTGGAATTGTGGGTGTACGTTCTCATACGCTTTTCTATGGCATGGGACGTGTCAGCACTCTTGTTTTCAGCATCATTGTATTTGTGATTCATACAGCTTGAAAGTGTAGCCGTCCGTCTGTCAATACTCTTAATGGCATCTCTGTGTCCACTTCATTCGTCATCAGAAACGTTGATCATCAGTCAGTAGCCCTCGTCTGTGCTAATGGTGTCTCAGGAAGGACAATACATGTCACAGAAACGGAAATGGTTAAAATGTGAGGCAGCACGACCCTGGGGAGTTCACCATGTGGCCTTCGAAGGTACCGTTATTTGCAGTGCGTTCTATACGTCTATCCCCTGTCATGATCATTGATCTGATAATGGTTTTTTTTCCGACATGTTGATGGCAGTGGTCGGAGCTCGATCATGGCACGAGGCGTAATTTTCTTTGCTACCAATGTTTTTGTTTTAAGTTATAGACTTTCTCTTAATTCTGTGTGTTCTGAGTTTTGCTTAATTGATTTCTCCACACCTCACTTTCTCACGTCTCATACGTCTTGTGTGCAATTTCTTTCAATCCCAGAATACTTTCTCTGCCTTGCGTCCGATGTACAATATAAACCTTGATATTAAGTTTTCATACCCCTGTAATGATCGTCCTCAGAACAAGAGAGTAGCTCTCACAGTCATAAAACACTCAACTTGCTCTTGATTACATGATGCATACACAGCATCTTCATCCGTTTAGTATACCTATTCTAAGATGAGAGGATAATATTAAAATGTACTTCTTAGACATGGGTTGTGAAGACGGAAACTGGACTGAAATGACATAAGGTATGGTCCAATGGCTGGATTTGTGATCACGGCAATAAACCATCGGTTTCCTTGAAATCAGATTATTTATTGACTGTGTGAACAAGTATAAAGCCATGAAGCCAGTTCTCTGTGTTTCGTGTTTTGGGAAGTACAAGCTTTATATGCCAGTGCCATTAATAGTTTTATTTGGGCGTGAAACGTGATCTGTTATTAAGAATGCAAATGACACGTGACTGGTAATAACCTACTAAGGAAGATACTTTGACGTAATAAGTTTAACTGCGTATTTTAGGATACTTAATAATGAAGATCTTCCTCATTTATACAGGACGCAGAGTATGTTAATCTATAATGAAACCAAGGAGGCTAGAATAGATTGAAAATGTAACTCGGATGGGAGAAACAGGAAATTTTAGTGAGAAACTTTAATGGAAAGGGACTACTTGGAAGACCACGAAAGAGATGATAGGGCAACTGTAAGATCGATATTAAGGAGATAGATTGTAAGGATGAAAAGTAGGTGGCACTGTCTCAGGATCGTGTCCAATTGCGGACTGACATTAGCGATGTTGAACTTTAGAGTTCTGCTATCTTTGTCAAGATTAAAACTTATTGTAGCCATCACGTTATTGAGATCATAAAGCATTTTTAATGTACCACGGATAAGAAACGATCTTATATCTATAGAAAGGTCCCCCCTTTTTTTACTTTATTGGAAAAATCAATTAGTGGCCTCTTTTGACGTATCTGTGTAACTGATGATGTATGTCTAATGTTAGTTTGAACAATGTCACTTAAGGGTATTTCCTCAGACATCTCTTTCTTTCCAACAGTTACATGATAAATGAACGTATACTCATAATTGTCATAAAATACTTTATGAGCTTCCACTGGTTTTTCTGCGTTTCACCGAGAACTTGTCACCAGGTGACTAATGTGTAACTTCTAACCTCCATTTTCTTATTCTTCTGTTGCTCGTGTCTTGGCCCACAGAAACATTCCAATGTCATGCTCAGAAGTTAGGTAAAATAAATTGTTCTAATCTCCTAAAACCCCTTCTCTTTGGCAGAAAATGTTTTGTGGTTACAATGGTTTATCCAGAAATAATAACAAAAATAAGTAATAAAAATTAATGTCTTACTCAAGTTTTTAAAACGTTTTAAAAACTTGACCGTGGTTAGTCAAGTGTTTTAACCGACACTTGATTAAGACACTAAACTAACCCCCCCGAAGGGGGGGGGGTTAGTTTAGTGTTATAACGTTGAGTTTTAATCAATTTAATTAAATTAATAAATTTAAATAATAAAAATCTATGGCATTTGGGGGTATGTAGCGTAAAGTATTGCAGGCTGGTGGATTCGAAACACCGCCTCACCCAACCCTAAAGTTATCAGTCCAGCGCCTAGACCCCTAGACCACCAGACATGATGTCATAATGCTGTCAAAAACTTCCTCATAAGTCATCTATGCGTAATGTAAGATATGAGGAAGTTTCAAAACGTGAGCTGGCATGAGCTCAGTAGCGTAGTGGTTAAGGTA